ACTGCGCCACCTCGGCTCTTCCTCCTTATTATATTATATAAACAAACGATGCTATGTTGCCTTAGGTTTCTTACTGAAGGGATAGGGTAAATGACACATAGCGGCTTCTTTAAAGTTCTTTAAGGAACTTTAAAGTTCCTTACTTTGGGGTAGTGGTGTGCAGCATAGACATTAGGGTAAATTCTGCTGCTGCTGCTCCCCTTTTTATTATTTTACTTATGAAGCCAGAACGGGAAAAAATATATTATTAAATGTGTATCTCACCTTTTTTGTGCGTGTATATAACTCAAAGTTGCAAGCCATATCTAATACACCTGCTTCCTACTTTTCCCACAACAACAACCCTGTAAGGTAGGTAGAATTGAGAGGACCAAACTGGCTCCTTGTGATGGCAGAAGACTTCTATCTATCCACTCCTCAGCCATTTCTGCCCATTTTCTGCAGTATCTATCATGGAGATAGAAATGGGGAAACAGAGGCAGTGTTTGTAGAGACACCCTAAAATGAGGGATCCTTGGTGCTCTCTGAGCTGGCTTGTTTTGTTGGAGATGTTTTATTATCCAAACTGGGTAACATCATTGGTACTAGTGATGATGTTACCTAGTCTGGGAAATGAAAGAATGGGACGAACAGGCAGAATACCGCTTTGAGCTACAAATATTCTCTTTATTGGTATGCCCTAAAGTATTGATCTGAAAAAAGGTAAGGATTAGTTCAGTACCTGGCCACAGCAGACTAAGATGAGTTGTTTTCACTCCAAATAAAACTGGCTCTTGATCCAACATCTTCAGGGTTCATTTGCTGTGAATCAAAAAATTAACTCAAGATATAGAACAGACTCTCTCCCCTGAAATGAGGGCCCTACTCCTCTTGGACTTCCAGAAGACTATGAAGCCCTGCCTTTCTTGCCAGCACTGGACTGGGATGATGGATGGGCCCAATATAGGTGTGGATTCTGTTGAGAGTTCGCTATATGATGCTCAGCTAGTGAACAATGATTTTAATTCTGGTTTTTGTTTTGCTTGGAAGGGTGTTACTATATTTTTCTGTCTATGGATAAATGTTAGCCACCCAGATTTTATACATAAGAGAGGTGCCTATATAAGTTGTCTAAATAAATAAATAAATAAGAGCTAACATATAAGAAAGTATTATTGTGGAAACATGAATTAGCATGAAATAAAAGAGAAGTAAATAAATTAGTTGCCTGTGAAATTCAGAGAAAGGTGATTTTAATGGTGTTAATGGATCAGAATGAAAGAAGTTTGCTTAGGAGGTGATGCACAACTTGTTTAAAATGGGTGTGAAAATTGGATCTGCATCTGGCAGTTGGAACAATGTTGTCATTCTTTCCTATTGTAAGTGAAAGATAGCAAAATTGCAAAATATAAAATTACAGGGGGTTAGCTTGCTAAATGAATTTAGGAAGCTGTTCGGCAGAATTCTGATAAAAAATGTACAAGAGATGATAAAGATTATACTTCTCTGCTGACATTCTGCTCTGTGGTGCCTTCTGTAGCCACTGTCATTTTCAAATCATCCTTTTCAATCTTTTATCTATTTTATTCTTCTCTGGATACCGCCATGACCTTTAAAATGTTCAAAATCTTTTAAAAGGGTAAAAACATACTTCAAAAATTAGGGAAAGTGGTAGGCCTCATCTTTTCACTTAAAAGACAAAAAATATCTATCTTCATGACATTACTTAAAATACAAGAAAAAAACAGATTTCTGAGCAGCTCCATGCCATACTGCCTCAGCATCAAAGCCTGCTCTAAGAGAGGAAGAGGCCTCACCAAGAAATAAAAAGAAACATACACAGCCATCCTTAACCCCTCAGATTTTATTCAATAATAAATTGCACTGTTACCACAGTCAGCTTTGTCTATACATAATCAAAACATTATAGGAGATTCAGTTACTGGATAGGATGATAGAGTTCCTTTTCCACCATCTAGACAAATTTCAAAATAATGGATTAAAAAAAAAGAATATTAGACATACATTGCTTTATATCTTAGGTTTCAGAATGGCGGGAGATTAGCTAGTTTTAAAATAAAAAGTGAATAAAAATTAAAAAACAAACTCTGCTGGGGTAACAGCAGGAAAAGCTGAATAAACTGACTGAACCCCCACCAGTCAGAATCCTTTGGCTGATGGGGTCTTCAGCATATCTCCCCTGCCCAATCAGGTGGGACTGGGCAATGTGATAGAGCTAAGATGGTTCCATAGATAACCTGCCCCCCTGCCATATAGGGTTCTTAAAAGTCATAACCAAAACCTTGAATTGGACTTGGAAGCAAACTGGCACCCAATGCAGCTTGCGCAAAAGGGCTCCATTCTTTGAGCACCCAAAATTGCCCCCAGGGCTGCATTCTGCACCAGCTGAAGCATCCAGATACTTTTCAAAGGTAGCCTCGTGTAGAGCACATTTGTAACCTTTTGCAGTTGGCATATAATTTAAACTCCTGTTTAGCATTTATTACTTTTTAACAGATAGAGGGAGTATAAGCATTGCATAAAGCTTCAGTTTAGAAAATGTCGTGGATTATTTTGTCATGCAATGTCATTCATATACCCATCTTACATTGGGAAGTGCATTTAAAACATAAATTATGATTTTTCTAACTTAAAAGGAAAGTTATTAGTATAAAATTTGATTTATTTGTTATATGGTTTGTTTTAGCATGACCTTTTTAAAAATCAAAATTGATATTCTGATTGGGATTGCAGTCTGATGGAGATGGGCTATTAAATCTTTTGCACCTACTATTGCATTTGGAGAAAAGTTCCCATTGGCACTAAACAGCCATTTACTTTCTTTTAATATTAAGTGCTGAAGGCCTTGTTTCTGACTGGGCCAATTTAAAAATGCAAAATTCAAAACCTTAACCCTTTTATATTATAGACAAGTTCAAATTATTCATTCTTAAAATACATGCTAAAGCTATTTAAAAATACTAATTGTAATATATATTTTGATGCCTGGATTTGATCAGATAGAAACACCGTTGTTTCATCCAATATGTATTTTGCCTATGACAAAATAGTAATGTTTGTCTTGAACAAAGTAGCAATGTTTCCCTACAAAATTAAAATGCAACAAAGAAATATATATATATATATATATATATATATATATATATATA